GATAAGCCCTTGACTTAGACTCCAAGGCTTAGAGCATTAAAGAAATCTTCCTTGTTAGGTCTCACTTTGCTCTTTTCTATTTTTCAAGACACTTCATCCCTAGCCTCTTTTTTGATCTTCACTAAAGACAGGGCAAGCACATTTTATCATTAGCCCATTGGACAGATAAGAGAACTGACGTCTAGAGAAAATCACAACTTGTCGAAGATCAGGGATAGACCCAGGACTGGATCACTAATACCAATGCCATGCCCCTTCCACAAAGCCACAGAGCCTGAAGGTCAACAGCCTCCAGCAGCCGGGTGGGGAATAGGCTGTGTATTTGCAGCCAGACTCCCCAGGAGCAGGGCGTTTTCCTTCCTCTGCTCAGCAGCACCCCCTAGAGGTGAACTAGCCATTTTTCTGGACTGAGGCGAAGTTTCTTTACCTAACTGATAATCTGAAAACTACTGAGCCTGGGAGCTGCCAGGAAGTAAGAAACAAGAGAATTTAAGACCTTCCAGTGATGGTGGGGATGGGCAGATGAGTCACTCCAAAGTGACTGCATGCAGCAGCTTGCTCTCAGTGCTGCCCTGTCTCCACAGGTCTCCCCAGTGCTTCGAGACTTCCTGGAACGGATGCTGGTGCGGGACCCCCAGGAGAGAGCCACGGCTCAGGAGCTCCTGGACCACCCTTTCCTGCTGCAGACGGGGCTGCCTGAGTGCCTGGTCCCCCTGATCCAGCTCTACCGCAAGCAGACCTCCACCTGCTGAGCCCACCTGCAGAGCGCACCTGCCACCAATACCCCCAGGCAGGGGACACTGGGCTGCCAGCCCACCAGCAGGGCCTGCCTGCCTCATTCTCTCAGTATTCTCTCCAAAGATTGAATGTGAAACCCCACCCACACCCTTCTGCCCTTCCGCCTACTGGGCCAGGCCGGACCTGCCCCTCGGTCTCTCTCTCTCCCAAGAGAGTCCCCAGTTGCCTTTGGGATGACGGAGACCCCTTCTACAGGATGACCCTTTGTCATTTGCACAGGGATATTTCTAAGAAACGTGGAGACCAGCACTCCTGGCCACCATGGCCAACCCAGCCGAAAAGGCTACTGCAGTTTTTTAAAGATAGTTGTACACAAGCATCCCGGGCTACCCAAGAGGGCAGACTGCTGATCTTCCCCAGGATAGCTGCTGTTCTCCGCTCCAACTCTAAACCCTGGGGTCTCGAGAGGGCCACGGGGAAGGTATCTACTGCCTGAAGCTGTCTTCCTCCCTCGTGTCTGACTTCCTGAAGGTATAGTCCAACCTGCACCTGCTTCCCAACTCACCTGCACTGACATCCACTCTCCCTGCACAGCCTGCCCCAAAGTGTGACCAGCCTGCTCACAGGCCAGGGAAGGAGGTGGAGCGTTGCTCTGGGTGAAAGAGAAAGAATGGAGTTGGTGGTAAACATAGTCTCACGTTACAGGATGGAGAGAACATCACGTGCACGTGTGTGTGTGTGTGTGTGTGTGTGTGTGTGTGTGTAAGTGACAGATGGTCACTCCGACAGCTTGGCTCCCTTCAGATCACCCACAGCCAGCTTCCGTAAAGTTTTTCCAATCTTTTTGCCACTAAGTTGTACTCCAAAGGGACCTGCTTTCCTGGCCTGGCTTCCCACCTCCCAAGTCCTTTGCTTCTACCTGACCAGCGGAGAGGTCTGCATTGAGTCTAATACATCCTAGGGGCTTGGCAGATTTCCAAGTTTCTCCTCTACACTGGAGTCTAAGAGCCTAGACAGGAATGGTGAGGGAACACACTTTGTTTCGGCTAAGAGCTTCCTCTCAATAACCAGGTCATCAAGGACCTGTTCTTTTCAAAATCTTGGTCTGGGGGGAAGTGAACCACCTCCTGGGGCCCCATCCTGTCAAGAAAATGGGTACCCCCTTTGTGCAAACCATATGCCCTTGCTCCTTCCCTCCTCCCTCTTCCCTCCCCACCTTCAGGGCTATTATGAGTCAGGGAATCCAGGGAAGAACTCCAGGTGTCAGGACCCTATCTAGATAATATTTTTAGATTCCTCTGCTCCCCAATGGCCTGCTTTGGGGCCGGAAAAAAAAAAAATTGCAAGGACTTTTTTAAAGGTCAGAGTTTTAAAAACAAAAGCATCTTCCCTAGAAACTTTTGTGAATTGTTTGCACTTGTGCCTGTTTTAAATTAAACTGAGTGTTCAAAAACCTCTGGGTTGTTGTCTCTGAGAATGGAGCCAGGCTGTCTTCAAGCTGGACACCTGCAGTGGGGGTCTAGTTGCCCCCTCCCCACCGTGTAAGCTCCCCAGCAGCCACTCCAAGTCCACAGAAAACCCAACTCCCTGGTGGCCTGTGGGCCCGTGAAGGCAGATAAGGAGGGAAACAGGAAGTAAAAGGCCCTCGGGGCTGAAAGAGCTGAGAAAGAGACAGAGGTCTCCTTCCAAAGGACCAGAACCCAGCCAGGAAGGCCCAGGGCCATGGGCTGTGCTTGCTGGTACCAGAGGGGCTCTGGGGGGCACCCACCAGGGCTATAACCACTTTCTGCCTCAGTGCCTCCCTTCTCCCTTTCACTTCTCACTCTAAGGCAAGTCAGAGGCTGCGCTCCCCAGGCTGTCTCCAGGAAGTGGCCGGGAGCTGCTTCCAGAGAGAAAGCAGTCTGTTTCGGTTCTCAGAACTGAGGGGTTATCAAAGAACAGTGCAGTGGCTGAAAATCAAGAGACCTTGGTGCTAGTCCTACAGGTAGGTGAGGTGGCTGGAATTCTCTTTCAACTTCTAGCTCTGACTCTGGTTCCAGCACTGCCTTCCTGAGAGCTCATCCTGCGTCCCCCAGCCCCCCCCCCCCCGCTACCCCCCCCCCCCCCCAAGCCCAGGGTTCAGGGAAACCTCTCAGGCAGCATCCTGGAGTCATGCCGACCTTTTCCTGCTCTCCGCAGCAGTCCCACCCAGACAGCTGCCCTCGTCGGAGGGTCCTAGTCCCACCAACTCAGTCCTGCCTCCAGGATGCAGCCGCAGTGCCTAGTGGGACAGGCAGGGATGGAGGCTGATGGAAGATGGAAGCTTGTCAGGAAGCAAGCACACCCTTCTGCCGCCCCAAAGGGAGCCCCCAATTAGGAGCCATTGGCAAGGCAAAGAGAGGCCAGTTCTTGCAACTGAATAATACTGGATTTATTAACTATTCTTCTGAGTTCTAATAGTCCTTCCACCACACAGTGTCATTCCAAAAGCGTATGTGTACGTCACTTAGCCTCCCACATAGACTAGTTCTGAGCTTGATGTTAGGGTACCGAGATCCAGTGGCCTGGGCAATTCTGCACAATGATGAAAGCAACAAGAGTTGGGAAAAGAAAACGGTTTAGAAAAGTCTCTTCTAAAGTGGAGTGAGCTCGAGAGGACACCAGCGTCAAAGCTCTGGGGCTGACAATGAGTAGGAAGAGCAGGAGAGCAAAATGCAGGGACACAGAGAACTTCTGCACGGAGCTGGGCCCAGTAAGAATCTGCAAGAACAGCAAGTCATTCAAACACAATTCAGTGCAGACAGGAAAGATCTACTGTGGTTTTTTTTAAGAACATCGCTTTCAACCACCAAGCCCTTGGCAATTCGGTGGAGAGGAGCCCTCATGGTTGTTTATTCAATAAGGAAGGAAGGCCCCAGGGTGACAATGAACCAGAAAGTCACAGGTCAGCGACATTTGAAAGATGAGAGCACCTCCTACCTAATGTTCAACCCAGACCTTATGGTGTTCTGAAGAAGCCAAATACTTGGATCCTTACACCATTAAAAAACTCTGTGAAGGTGGCACCTGGGTGGCTCAGTGGGTTAAAGCCTCTGCCTTGGGCTTGGGTCATGGTCCCAGGGTCCTGGGATCGAGCCCCACATTGGGCTGTCTGCTCAGCAGGGAGCCTGCTTCCCTGTCTCTCTGTCTCTGCCTTCCTCTCTGCCTACTTGTGGTCTCTGTCAAATAGATAAATAAAATCTTAAAAAAAAAAAAAACTCTGTGAAAATTAAACACAGACAGGGAATAAGTGAGCAAGCCAGGATCAGAGGGGAAAAAAAACAAACAAACGGAGTTTGTACTTGGGATGTCCAATTATCCCCCATCCCACCCCAGATCCTCTCCTTCTGGCTTTTCAAGTGCATCTGTATTGTTCCGCCGCCCAGACAGTGGTACTGAGGAGAGGCAGGTGTGTGGGAAGAAACAAGTAGGGGGAGGGCAAAACACCCCAAAATGAAAGCAAATCTCATCAGAAGAAAACAGTGCAGGTCCCAAGCTTCAGAAATTATAAACAAGGGATTGGAGATTCCTATTGTTCAGAACAGAGCAGAAGCTCTCTGAACTTGGGAGCCTTAACTTGGAAGATCTTGGGGTCCTTAGTGAAGACAGGTCTGGGCTCCTGCTATTCCAAATCCGAGTTTTTGTGTTTACTGTCCCTCACTTCACTGCTGGGAAATGACTTCAAGTATCCGGATTTAACATACTACTAGAGGAAGAGGGTCAATGCACACAGAGGGAGAAGTACATTGCGACGGTCCCTAGTAAAACCAGAAGTCCAAACTCCTAGCCCGGGCGCCGCGAGGAAAGCGCAGCGCTGCCACCAGGGGGCACCAGAGATCACGTCCAGCGCAGGGCGCGGGGAGAGGGCGCGGCCTTGCAGCCCTTAGGGAGTGGAATGATTGGGGAGCAGTCTGACATCTACACCAGGCCCGCTCACCTCCGGGACCAGTTTCTCAGCACAGATCACTCTCGCTCCGGGCAGTTTCCTTAGAGTTCATGTGAGAAACCTTCCGTTCTGCAAAGGCGTATAGATCGACGTCTTGAAAGGACCCCACTTCAGACGGGTGAGGCGCTGCACGTTCAACCTTCAGGGTTCACAAAGAGAGCCCCCAAGCGCCAACGATCCCGCGGGCTGGACGCTCAGATAACTGTGCTAGCGCTTCCGCAAGATCCTGGGGGCACGCATTCTCCAGACCCGCTAAAACTCTCCCCACCCCTGCCAGCCTCTCAGGCCTGCACAAAGGGGAAGGCAGGGAGGGAGGGGAGGAGGAAGGACCACGCCGGAAAGGGCATTTAACCACCTCTCCACAGTTGCTTCTGACTCACTAATCTGCCCAGTAATGAAGCTGGGCCGGGCCAGCGTCCCACGCGCCTCGGCAGAGGCAGGGGTCCTTGGTCTCGACCTCCAGCATCCATCATCTGCCCTGCCCTCCATTAACGGCCCAGCGAGAAGCAGGAGCCCTTTAACAGCCCCCTTCCAGCTCTCTCAGGAGTTTGATGTAATTTAAACCCGGACCTGCGGCTCGTGTGGGCTTCCCGACTCCCGCGCGCCGCCGTTTAACGTGGCAAACACTTCAGTCAATTATCCCCCTCGCAGAGCTTCTATTTAAAGAGATATTGTCAGGTTCTTAAGCCTCGGATCAGACCCGCTGCTTTCGGCTTCATATACAAAGACTCAAAACACGAGTTCTTTGAGGATTGGAAGAAATACAATTAAGCCAAGCCTTCGCAACCATTCCACCCTAGGGGGGAACCCACGTGCACCGCCAGGGGAGCTGGGAAGTGGTGGGAGGGGGAAGGGCCAAGTCCTTTACATTTCAGGCTCTAAGAGTGAGAGGAAATAAGGCTGGACCCTGAGGGGTGAGACCTCAAAGGTACAACTCAGATGCTGCCCAGCTGAAGCTGGGCTCAGTGCTGGGAGCTGGGCTCGCCAGGCGTTGCTGTAGTCCAATGACCCCACATCATGAAGGTGAAAACTGGGTCTCCGGTGGGAGCTGAAATTACCCAGAAGCTATTTCAGGGGACAATTAGCCTTCAATACCAGGGCCTCTCCCACCCCTAAATATGATCTCATTTTCTGGAGGCAGGAGCTTTTCCCCCAGAAAACCTTAACCTCCAGATTCCTTCATCATCAGCCCTCCTGTCCAGAAGGGCTCAAAGGCTGGTCTTCTTGCTTTCTGTCTCCAACACCTAGGGAGGGAGACTTCAGTAGCCTGTGGCATTACTGGGCACATCACTAGGCAAAGGGGGGAGGCTAGGTCTTTGTTCTACAGGTCAAGCTCTTCTGCTGCCTGGCTGCCAGGGTGTGGGAAAGGGGTAAGGAGGAGGTGACCCAGCAGGAGTAGGCAAGGCTCAGAACTGAGCCTTAGGGCTCAGGGTAGGGGGTCCATCTTCCTGGCTGAAAGGCTATCTAGCCTCCAGAATCCATCTTCTATTCCTCCCCTCTAGGACAGGAAAGGTACGCTGTAGGGAAGGTGAGAGACCTAGGCAGGGAATACCGACGAGCACAAATAAATAAATAAATAAAATAGGGCTTCTTTTCAGAGAGAGGATTAGGGGTCTGGTCTGGGCAGTGGGGACAGATTATGGGATCACAGGCCAGGGAAACTGCCAGGAAAGTGAGGGACCTGGAAAAAAGAAATCCCAGCAGAGGAGAGACATAAGAGGAGGGGGAGCAGGGCTCAACCTCGACGCTGTTTACCGCTGAGCGTGCAGCACCACGGCCTCCGTGCCCCCCTGCCAAGGCTGAGGCCCAGGCACCGAGTGGGGCAGAGCGTTGGCCTCTAACTCCGCGCCGCTTTCGGGCCCTGAGGCCTCCCCGACCAGGCTGGGGATGTCTGGAGCTGTGGAGCGTCGGCGCAAACCCAAACGGCCAGAGCCGGGGCCGCCCTCCGGGTGGGGGCTCAGGCCAATGGGGGCTTGCACTAAGGTCGGAGGCGCTCCCTCCAGCACCTCCTGCGAACGCCACCGCCCGGTCCCTGAAGACTGGGGCGAGTGTGGTCGGGCCATCAGTGCTCCCGCCCGCAGCCGAGCCGCTTCCTCCTCGGTTACAGCACCCAGCGCCAGGCTCATGCTCCGGCCCAGCTCGGGCCTCTCGCTGCCCTGTGCGCGGTGCCGGCCGGAGCCCTTGCCCCCTGACCCAGCCTCGCCGCCATGACCGTGGCCGCCGGCAGCTCGCGCAAAGCGCGCTAGGAGAGGCCGAGGTAAGCGGCGGGGGCTGGGTCGTCGGCGCTCCGGGCTGGGCGCGGGAGCCGGACGGCCGGGGGGGCTGTCGGAGTTGGAGCCCCGGGCCGCGGCGGCGGCAGCTGCGCGGCCCCAGGGCCCGGTGAGGGCTTGCACGCAGGTCCCGTGGCCGCGAGCGGCTGCCAGCTGCAGCGCCGTGAGACCCGCTCGGTTGGTGCGGTCGAGGCGCAGGCCGAGGCGGCGGAAAGAGCGCACCAGGAACTCGAGCACCGCCCCGTGGCCGCACGCCGCCGCCCACATCACTGGGCTGTTGCCCGCCGAGTCGGCCGCTTCGGGGTCGCCGCTGAACTGCACCAACAGCTGCACCGCGTCCAGGTGGCCGCGCTCGCACGCCAGGCTGAGCGCTGTGCGGCCGCGCTCGTCCCGCAGGTTCACGGCCGCACCCTGCTCCAGCAGTAGCCGCACGAAGCGGGAGCGCAGCGCGGGGTCCGGCAGCCCCACCGCCACCATGAGCGGCGTGCGGCCCTGCTCAGCGCGGCAGTCGATGATGCTGCGGTCCAGCGCATCCAGTACAAAGCGGGCCAGGTGCACTTTGCCCGCCTGCATGGCCTCCAGGAAGGTGCGCGTACCCGCTCGGGGGCACAGGTCCTTGGGCTTGAGCATGGCCCCGGCCGCCGCTCCTAGGCGGCCGGCAGCTCCGCACGGGGGCGCCCCTGTTCCCGCGCCCCGCTGGGCTCTGGGCCCCACTGGTGCTCTGGTGTGGCTCCCTCAGCGCGTGGGCGGCTGCAGCCGAAGGTCCTGACGTTTCCACTCTTGTGCCCCAGTGGATCCCTTTTCCCTGCCGCTCCTGGGCCGCACGCCTGGCGTCTCGCAGCTCCTTCCCTGGGCTTCCCGCCTGGAGGTGTAGGTTGCTTGCTACTCTGGGCTCCGCGCCTGGCCCGCCACGAGACTACGGGAGCCAAAGCTCGGCCCCCTTCTGTCTGTCCCGCTGCTTTCCGCTTGTCCGGTTCCCCTCCGCCCCTTGTGGCTTGGAGCCGCGCCACTCACCCTCACCCGGGACAGCCCCCGCTCCCCCGATGAGACGGTGGCGCCCGCCGTGCGCGCCTGCATCCAGCCCTGGCGGGGCGCGCCGCTCCTCAAGCTGCTGGCGCCGCTCCTCCGCCTCCTCCCCGCTCGCGGGGGCCGGGCCACACCGGGGCTCTTGCTCCTTACTTGGGGGGCTCAGCGGCGCGGAAGTCGCCACCTGCCTGCTTATCTGGCTTTATAGCCTCGGGAGTCTCCATGGCAATGGCTGCCCTGGAAGTGGGCTGGGCCGTCAGGGCAGGAGCGCACTCGGCGGGAGAGACAGCCCCTGACCCCCACCCTTTTGTGGGCCACGAAGTCGGGGAGCGGCTCCTCCTCCGCGCTCCCCTGGGGCTGCCGCGGCGGTTGCGGGGCGCGGGCGGCGGCTGCTAGCTGGGGGGCCACATGCACCAGGCCAGGCCAATCCCAAAATCACAGTTGTCTCTTCTCGTCTTCCCGCCCTCCGCCCCTACCGGAGTCGGTGCCCTCGGAGCCTTACAAACTTAGGACCTCGCGCCCGTCGAGGAAGGCGGAGGACTGCCTCCCAGCGGTCCAGGTGGAAGGAAATGGGACCCCATTAGGGCAGAACTGACCATAATGGGGCTGGGTGGCGGCGGCAAAAGGCAAACCGCGAGTAATTGGCTGGGGTGTGGGGGTACCTGCGCTGCGCGCGGGGTGAGGGGCGCTTATTCTGGCTGAGAACTGCCACTCGAAGTGTAGCGAATCACGCACTTGCACACAATTGTTCCTCCCGCACACGCTCGCTCGGCGCGGGGGTGGCGGGGAGACTGCGCCCTCCAATCTCCGACGTCTCCAACCCCGACCACGCGCCCGAGCGCGGGTTCCCGGCGGCTGACAGGCGGGCGGAGCCGAGACGCGGCGGCCAGGGCGGGCGCCTGGGGATTCGAGAGTGCTGCTGCCGCTTTCACGACTCCCCCGCGCCGCCTCGCCGCCGCTTCGGGGCCGGCCGCCACCCCGGAAAAATGTGAGAGACCTACGCAAGGCTCCCCTACGGTCCTCGCCTCCCTCCCAAGCACAAAACCACCCCCAGCCCACTGGGCTCTGATTTTGACTACTAGCTGACCCCTTTGGAAGGGAAGGAGAGAGCCAGCGTCACTGGGGGGTGGAAAAACTACCGCATCCCCTCTCCCTCCTGAGGTGGGGGGCGGTGGTGCTCAGGCCTGTGTTGAGGGGAGTCAGGGCTCCTCAGAGGGGGATGGCGGGGGCGGGGGGTAGAGGTGTATAGGGGTAGAATGAATTATTTGTGAAGTCTAAAGAAGTGAATCAGTTATCAACTCATAACAGAATTTACTGAGACTTTTCCCGAGCTGGGCATTGTGTTCCCCAGCTGTAGGACACACAGAAGCAGAAGCTCAGTTCTGGATAGAAGAGACCATCCCTCTCAAGCAGGAAGACAAGACCAGCATAAAAATGTAGAGGCTATCAGCAGAGGGCTGGCTACACCTGTTATATCCAAACAAAACCAAGCCTCTGCTTAGAGGAAAAGGTAGAGCTGGGTGTGAGGGGCTCTGGGGCAATCTGGAGGTGGTCTTCAAGGATGTGGGAGGATCTGGCTTCCAGGAAATAAGGAAGACATTCCAGACAGGGTTCCTGAGGCAAAGACATGGAAGCAAGAAAAACACCTCTAGGGGACAGTACTGAGGTCTGCTTTACCAAGTACCTTCCTATGGAAGATATAAAATGAGGGGAAGTCGTGAGGCTGGGCGGAGCCATGATAAGATGCTATCTGGGAAAAGGTTCTGGGCAAGGAGAGGATTCACCTTTGGGAAGGAGAGAGTGGGCCCAGATAGGTGAGTGGCGAAGAGCACACAGGGCCCTGTGCTGCAGGCTTCTTGCCTTTCTCTAGCTCCTAGGCTTCAGGGATGCCCACCTAGCATCCTGGGCCCAGCCATGGAGCAGGGTCTCCCACTTCCCTCTATTCCGGGGTGCGGGGGGACAGTGCATGTGATGTATGCCTGTATATACTGTCAAGCACCTACCCCCTTTATCATTTTTGCGTTCTCTAATCCCCCTGCTCTGCTGATTTTCTCTCATGGTGCCACGGAAAGGGCATGGCATTTTAACCTCGGAATTAAGTCCCAGCTTGAAGGCCTTCGTCTCAGCAAAACGAAGCCCAGAGTACTAGCTCTGCCTGCTTTAGGCAAGATGAAGCTAGACAGTGTCAGGGAAAGAGCTGTACGGTTAGGTTATTCAGAGTGTAGAAAGCCACATCTCACCCCAAGACGTGGGGGCCTCACCTGGAGTGTCACCCTGGGGGGGCACAGACTATCCAACCCCAGGAGGGTTTCGGGAAAGCTCTCCTTCTACTCAGATAGCAGAAGAAAGGCTTTCCTTCCCTTCATGAATCGATTGCCCTTTTCTGCAGCATGAGGGAAATTGCTTTCTTCCTTTCCTTCTGTTTCCAGAGTCAGAGAAGGAGGTAACCCTGGAATCCGTGTGTGGCAGGCCAGCCTGACAAACTGGAGGTGACCCAGTGCAGGGAGAGGAGAAAAGCAGTGGGAAGATGGCATGGGTGCCTGCTTGGTCCTAAAGAACCAGGGCCCCTCCTCTGTGAGCTTCTCTGAGACAACTCTGCCTCATTTGTGTCCCTCCTGCTGGGGTGGATGGAGACAGTTGCAGGGAAGCTGAGGAGCCCAAGCAGGTCCCTGTTAGGGCCTCTCCGTGGCCTGGCCCAGAGTGCCCTGCTGGCCACTGTTCCGGAAGGAGCAACCAGTGCATTTGCTCCAACTGGTACCCCCAGCCCGGCCAGGCCTGTGGTGGGATGGGATGGTGGCAGGCCTCAGGCCCCAGAGCCTTTGCTCTGACTTTTCCGTAGGCTCAGTACGTTCTGAACAGAAAAGAAATAGCAAAACTGAAAGGGGGGGGGGGAACCGCTGTGCCTGTGCTGCAGAGCACTGAGGCCCCGACAGCCGGAATTAGAAGCTGTCGCTTAGGGAGCCAGGAGCCGAAGGCTGACAGGAGAAGGAGCTGCAGCAGGGAGCAGGCAGGCGCACAATCGGCACTCCCCCCTCACTTCCCCTCCACCTGCGGAGCCTCACCCTTTGCAGGCCCCAGGCTGGCAAAAGGGCTTCTTCCCAGAGGCACGCTACGCTAGGCTCCTAGGCTCCTGTCTGCAGTTTGTCACTCCGTCTGCCGCTGGCCACCCCCCTCCCAGACCCCCTTCTTTCCTCCTCAAGTATCACCAGCCCCCTCAGCCTGTCACGTTGCACCAGCTCAGCAGGGTTGGGCCTGGTGGCACATGGCTGGGAGATCCAGAGAGCTGGGGAGGAGTTGGGGGTGCAGGGGATGGGGTGAGTCAGCAGGGGACTCTGGTATCTGAGTCAGCAATGGGACTGAGAAGGGGGTAGGAACCCTTCCCTTAATGTAAAAAGTGAAACTGAGGCACAATGAGTGGACAGGGAACCTTGCCCCTGCTCCAAGGGTACACAACAGGAATTCACCTACCCCAGGCCCTGAGGGAAGGCATTAACTCCTCCCCAGCACTTCCCCTGCAGCCAGAGATGAAGTCATCTCCAGGGCCCAAAGACTCCAGCATTTTCCCAGGGGGGCACCCCGCCCTTTTTCCAGAGTACAGGAAGCAGAGAGGTGGGTATCTGGGCCTCCTGGGAAGCTCCCAGCCTCTTGTGCTCTCCTAGCCCATTCCTGGGCTTCCCAGCTCCACCCTGGGGGCCCAAAGACTGCCTGGTCTGGTCTCCTTGCCCTCAGCAGTCATTGGCAGAAGCTGGGGACTCTCCAGTGGGCTCTCTTCGGTGTTGGCTCTGGCTTATGCCCACGTGCTTGGGTCAGTGAATTCCTCTAGCTTGGATCATCATTCCTGTAAGGCTCTACCCCTGGGCTGGCAGGGAGATGGGGCAACTGAGTGCCCAGCAGGAGAGCTAAAGACAGGGCACTGCTCTGGGGTTCAAGCATCCCACCCTTGGCTATAGCCAGTGCGTGTGCAAACCAGATGTGTCAATGACAGGCCTTACTACTGTGAATGGGCAGGGCCCCTAGTCCCAACCTGTAACCAGGGAACGCTAGGATCCCAGAGGTCAGGGCCCCAGAGGGATGGAGGGTAGTGGTGGTGGTTCCGTTTATTTTCCGAAGGCACAAGCCTCAGAGCTAATAGCATTTGTAATAACTCTCTAATGAGAAAACAACCTCTTCCCAGAATCAATCCCCACCTGCCTTCTCCCAAGCCAGTGCCTGTTTCCATTTGGGATCTGGGATCACGCCACAGGTGCAGTGAACAGCTGCCCACAAACCCCTTTCGAGCAAGTGTTGGATTCAACCATAACTACCTGGTGTAGAATCTGACCGTTGTTACACCTGCCTAAAGGGGCCCATGTGGCCTGGAGGTTCACAACACCATTGCCCTAGGCTCTTCTGCTATAGCCCTGAGGGTAGAGACAAGGAAGGGCCACGTCTGGGTGGGGGGTGGAGAAGAGGGGTGACCTCATTTTCCAGTGGTTGTGGCATCAGAGCTGACAGAAAGGGAAGCAAATCCCCTTCAGGCCCAGAAGCAGGACAATTTCACTGGGCTCTGGAAGGGACCTCACCCTGGGATTCAGCTCCCCAAGGGTTTTTCTCCCAGGCCATTTCATTTCGGGAGCATACTCCCATCCTACCCCCCATTTCTCAGCTGTAGAACAAAGGCCAGGCTTAGGCAGGAACTATTGGGACGAGGGTTCTCTTTAGTAGGAGTGAGGAGGAGAAAAATAAATAAATCTCATAGGAGAGAAAAATGATTCTAACCTTATTAGGCAGCCTGAGCAGGGGTACATACTGAGGATGTACCCACCCCCCACCAGGCCTAGGAGAGTCCCCCAAAGGCCTTCCTTAGACCTCCCTACTAGCCAGAGGCCCAGTCGTCTCCGCAGACAGCTGAGGCAGCTTTTCCATGTCAGCCTCCCATCCCCCACAGGCAGGAGGCCAGGGAAGGGACCTCAGCCCAGGATCCTGGAAGCAGCTGTCCCCAGGGAGCTCGGACAGGCTCTGTATCAGGGAACTGACAAGGTGGCCGACTCAGGACAGGTCTGAGAAGGGGCTTACAGCAGAAGGGTTTGAAGTTTGGTCCTGCTTGACCTAGAGGGGCTAGAGTGGAGGCTCCAGACAGCTAGGCCTAACCCTTCAGGAAAGGACACAGAGTCCAGAGTGGGGCACCACAGGTAACACACTAGGGAAAGGAGAGTGGGGCCAGGACCCCATTTCCTACTTCTCAGTCCATATCCTTTTGCCCTCAACAAATGTGAGACACTTACTCAGAGGCAGAGAAGAAGGATGAGGAGTAGGAAGTCAGATCGGAAAGGACCTTGAAACCTCAGATGGGCCCCTGCCCTGATGGTACCTGTTTCCTGCCTCCTCCTCTAGCCTGGTTGTTGAGGAAGGGACTCCAGAGTTCAAAAGAGCTCCAGCTTCCCACAGCCTTAGAATGGGCCTTTCCTCCTGGGGGAATGGAACCCCATCCGAGAGAAGAGTGAATGTCCTTACAGAATGTCCCAGTGGGATAGGGGCATCAGAGGCGGCTCTCCTCGGCGCCTGCCTTTGCTGTGAGTGGGTCCTGGTCACACAGCTCCCTGAAGGCCTCATAAGGCCTCTCAGGCTTGTCCTTGGCCTCAGAGGGTAAGCAGTTCCTGAGGCAGGCCTTCACTGACTCCTTCACCTCAGCCTCCAGGCTCTTCATCCGGACTTCGTACTCTGCCAGCACCTCCTGCTGGAACTGTAGGGACAGCAAAGACCACCACCTGGCTCAGGAGGGGCCCACCTGCCCACTCTCCCTCCCCTGGATAGCCAAAAAGGAGATGCCCAGTCTGTTCAGATCTCCCAGGAGACTGGGGTGGTGAGGGGTAGTGGAGACCATCAGGGAGCCTGCCAGAGAAGGGGATCCCAACCAAGCAAAGAGATCTGTAGAGCTGCCTCATCTTAAAGGGCCCCAGGACCCCGCAGGAATGAGGACCTGCAGCCCACCAGCGAGGGGTGAATCCCCTTCCTGCCCCCACCCATCTCCTAACTGGCAGCTCCCCAGTGCAGGCCAACTCTCCTGGCGGGCAGGGCGGTAGTCCCTGTCACACCTGCTTTTCCATCTCCCGGATCTGTTCCAGGCAGGCTGCCTGCTTCTCCTCCAGCTTCTCCTGGTGCTTCTCCAGGTTCTCTGTCATCTGGGTGGGAGTGAGAGGCAGGGAATCAGGACAGCCCAGACAGGCAACCTGACTCAGAATCCAGCTACAGTCCCTTATCCAGCAACAAGACTTGGGGCGAATTTGTTAACCTTTGAACAGTTCTTTTTAAATGTATGAAATGAAGATAATAGTCTGTCTTGTTGGGTTGTGCAGGACTGTATGAGACAGTTCCTGGCTTTAAGCGTACCACACAAGGTCTGGATTCAGTAAACAGACCCCATAGAGCCCCCCTCCCAAGCACCCCAGCTCAGCCAGCTCTGTTACTGTTGTTAATAGTCCCAGGAGAGCTTTAAGTCCATTCTCAGCAGGGCTTTACTTCCTCTTCTGACTCCCTGGAGCCTCAGGAAGTCCCCCTCACTCCCTCATACCCACCCACACCAATCCCATCCTCCCCTGGCCAGCTAGCCCCAGTCATTTCCATCCAGGGCAGCTGGCCAGAGACAGATCTCTTTAGGATGGTACCCTAACCTCCACACAAAGGCCAGAACCCTGGGGTAGCCCAGGAGCTCCACCTTCCCTTCACTGCCTCCTCCCATCCCCCACTGCATGGGCCACTCAAGACTGTGTGCCTCCTGAAGATAACTTAAAAGCCTGGGACCACTGCATCCCTTCTATGTAGAGCGTGAGTGTCT